GTCATGATCTCACTATTCCAGGCTTTGAGCCCCATCTAGGGCTCTGTGATCACAGTGTGGAGGCTGCTTGGGATTCTGTCTCCCTCTTTATCTGCCCCTCCCCAGTTCTCTCTCTCTCTCCCTCAAAATAAATTTTAAAAAAGAAATAAAACTAATAAAGGCTTTTAGGTTAGTGGCAACTTGGCAGAAAACTAACTCATGGCTTAAATTTTATAGGCTATTGTGTCTTTGTCATATCAATAATATTTTAAATCATTCTGACCAATATACATATCTTCCTTCGTAAAGCAGAATTGTAGCAATTCTGTGGGAGCACTTGTATGTTGTTGGCTCCCAGCAAGGTCCTAGGAATGTGGGGTGCCAGATCCGAATGGTCTTTGGAGAAGGAAGTGGGAGGGAGGGGCACAATCATGACCCACTTTAGTTCTCCTCCATGCTGCTTGCCCTCTCCTGCTGACCTTCAAATGCTGATCATCTGGGTGACCCTCTCTACCCTTTCTGGCAGTTTTCATCTCATTTCTCCTCTGCCAAGTTGAAGCCAGTGTAGTGGGTGCCTGGGCATTGACTCAGCACCTACCCCTTTGTGTATTTGTAATATGCATTGACAGGATTTCCTAAGACAGAAGATTCAGTTGCTTGCTTTGAACTTTTATTTTGAAAATTATACAGGCTCACTATTTCCCTCTAATTCCTATCCGCACTAAGTAGGAAAAAAAAGATAGTTTCCATTTAACTGATGAATGTGGCTTTTTCTCTTTAATGTTCAGAAAATTATGGCTGTTTTGTGGATTTCTTCTGGTTTCTTCTGCAGCCCCATACCTGTAATTGTTAAGCAGATTTTTCTCATTTTCTCCTTCAATGTCCATGAAAGGGGTGCTGAAGAATTAGAATATTGGGTCAAAACAAAATAGCTGAAGTGACCTTAAAAGGTAGTGTCTTCACTGTATGGGGAATATGGAGGTATTTGGATTTCTCAGTTACTGTCAAATGCTTCATGGTTACAGAAATATAGTGGGTCCCGAAGCTCTTTGAAGCTCATGATGTTTGGGCTGACTGCAGGGAGACAAGTGACAATTTTGCAAAGTTGCTAGAGGTCTGTATATAAGCTGGCCACACGGGACCTGCTCACTTGACTTCTCACCTTTCTATCTTGTTGGTTTGGAGACTGTTTGGATTATGCCAACACTCTCTATGGCTTGAGATGACATTTTCAAGTCCATCTTTTACTGCCTGACTTTCCGTTAATGTACTAAGTTTGAAACAGGATTTGATTTCCTGAGCTGCCAGTCTACTTCGTTCATTCCACTAAGGAAGCTAGTTCATCTTTCATCTCATTCATGTTCTTTTGAAATAAGGTACTTTGGGGCTCAAGTCTTTTCAGTATATTTACTTATTTACATATACATATAAGTTTATTTACTTATTTACTTACTACGTTTGTAATACATTAATTTATATATATAGGAGATTTTGTGTTCTCTTTTGTGTATCGATTCACTATTATAATGTAAATAAGAAATAAAAACTTGATGTATTGTACTTCAGGATGCTTCCCTTGTTAAGTGGATTTACAGAATCTCCTTGTAAAATGAATAATTGCATTGTATATCTGTCTTCCTAGCAAGATTATTAAAGTATTTTAGAATTTAAAAAACAAACTATAAATAAATAAAGAAGGTTAAATTCATAAGATCTTGGTTCCAGTGCAAAGATCTACAAGTTATTCCTCAAGTGGATAGGAGAGAATATACATCACTCAAGTATGTCCCATTCTTGGGTGCCTGGGTGGCTCAGTCAGGTAAGCGTCTAACTCTTGGTTTCAGTTCAGGTTCAGGTCATCATCTCAACAATTTGTGAGTTTGAACTCCCCCGTCAGCATGGAGCCTACTTTGGGATTATCTCTCTCTGCCCCTCCCATGCTTATGCTCCCTCTTTCTCAGAACAAAACAAAGAAACAAACAAAAAATTGTTCCTTCTTAAAATCTCAGGAGATGAAAGTGTTTGGAGCAGTTGAGTTACACAGTGATACCTATCACTGAGAAGGGAAAGCAATCAGCCTAAAAAATTGTAATTTCAAAATTCAAAATCCCCTTCCTCTTCAAAAAGTAAGTTTTTCTTTGAGTCTACTCATAATTGTCTTTCTCTTTTCTAGAACTATAGGAACAAGAGAACAAGCTCGGGCTGATATATCAAGTCTGGGCATGAGTGGCAGCACAAACTCATCTGTTAATTGTAGAAGATACAATTACATAATTATAGTTTAAAAAATTTTTTTAATGTTTATTTTTGAGAGAGACAAAGAGAGAAATAGAGCATGAGCAGGGGAGGGGCAGAGAGAGAGGGAGACACAATCTGAAGCAGGCTCCTGGCTCTGAGCTGTCAACACAGAGCCCAATGTAGTCCTTGAACTCATGGACCACAAAATCATGACCTGAGCTGAAGTCGGACACTTAACTGACTGAGCCACCCTGGTGCCCCAACATAATTAGTTTTAAAGAAAAAAGGGCTAACTTTTAGTTGTGGAATGAATAAATCACAGGGATAAACGGTACAGCACGGAGAACACAGCCAGTGATAATGTACAAGACTTGTGCGGTGACAGATTGCAGCTACACTTCTGGTGAACACAGCTCAATGCATGGAGATGTTGAAACGCTCTGTTGTGTACCTGAAGCTAATGTAATTTGTGTGTCAGCTATACTTCATTAAAAAGAGACAGACGCCGGGGCGCCTGGGTGGCTTAGTCGGTTAAGCGTCCGACTTTCGCTTAGGTCATGATCTCGAGGTTCGTGGGTTCGAGCCCCGCGTCGGGCTCTGTGCTGACTGCCAGCTCGGAGCCTGGAGCCTGTTTCGGTCTGTGACTCCCTCTCTCTCTGACCCTCCCCTGTTCACGCTGTCTCTCTCTCTCTCCTAGAAAAAAATAAAAAAAACATTAAAAAAAAAAAAAGAGAGAGACAGATGCCTGGGTGGCTCAGTCGGTTAAGTGTCTGACTTCAATTCAGGTCATGATCTCATGGTTCGTGAGTTTGAGCTATCTCTGTCCCTCTTTTGCTCTCTCTCTCTCTCAAAAATAAATAAATATTAAAAACATTTTTTAAAGAGAGAAAAAGCTACATCTCACATTTTAACAAGGCCTCCCAACTAAGATGTTTTATTAGGAGTCTCTTAATTCAGCAAAAACAATCTGATCTCTGTCCCAATCCTCATTTGTTTTTGTCTTGAATCCAAGAATGAAGTTACCTTTCTACATGTCTTCTAAATCCAGCCCAGAAATAAATGAAGTGTTAGTCTATGTGTTTTATAATATCATTTTCTTTCCACATTTTCTTCTCTGTCATTTTTACTTTTTGTTTATAAAAGAATAAAAATTCCTGCCACATAAAAAATGTGACCAGATAAAGAAATAATCCTGTTTCCCTATCACTTTATCACTTTATGTAGGGTCTTCATCTTCTACTAGATTATATTGATTATCCTGGGGAAATCTCAAAATCAACACTACAAGATAAAATTACGCTGTAGTTATTTCACACCTTAAAATAATGGACTTTTCTTAGTCTATGAATCTGGAAATTAATCTATATCTTGTCTGTTGTTGACATTACCCATTAGTATTTTCTGTCCTATTATGTTAGCTGTATTTTGGAAAACTATGTATCATGCTGAAATAATATTTGTATACTTAACTCTTTTGCTCATTTATTTACTCATTTACACTTGTCATATTTATTGCATTTTATGTTCTAAGTACTTCACTGAATACTGGGAATAGAGCTGTGAATGAGACAAATACTGCCCCTACTCTCTTAGAATTTTCCATCTAATAAGTATCATTCTAATAAGTTTCAATCTAATAAGTATCTACCAATTTGATGAAAGTTTGTTGATAATTATAATACGGTATTGTTATATGCTTAGAGGGTATTGAATAAGAGAAACTACGTACGCTGGTCTGTGGAGTCAGAAGGACTTCCTTAAAAAGCTCTTGCTTCAGTCAAGATATGATGAATGACTAGGGTTTAGAGAAATGATAATGTTTATCAGATACTTGGATCTATCCAACTAGGTCAGCCTTGAAGAGAAGACTAAGCCTCACTCCTTTCGTTTCCTAAGCTGAGATATATACCACTTCATTTCTTCTACCCCGGTCTGGTTCAAATATGCAAGTAAAACACATTGCTCACAATGCAGATGAGGCTTGAAAACATTATGCAAATGTTTACAAAGTACAAAAACACAAATACAAAAAGCCGCATGTTGTGTGGGACAGAATTTGTATGAAATGTATATGATAGACGAATCCATACAGACTGCAAGGAGAGTTGGGGTTGACAAGGGATAAGAGGGTGAATAGGGAGGAAATATTAATGGGTATTTATTTCTTTTGGGGGTGATGGAAATGTCCTGAGATTGAATCATTAGGATAGTTGCACAACTCTTTGGATATTACTAAAAACGACTGAAATATGTACTTCATATATTTTTTTATTTTTGAAAGCAAAAGAGAGGGGGAAGGGGCAGACAGAGATGAAGAGAGAGAGAACCCCAAGCAGTCTTTGCATTGTCAGCATGAAGCCCTGTGCGGGCCTCGATTTCACAAACCATTAGATTAAGACCTGAACCGAAATCAAGAGTTGGACGCTTAACCGACTGAGCCACCTAGATGCCTCTGAATTACGTATGTACTTTAGAGGAATGACTTTTACCATATGTAAATTTCATCTTACTAACAATGTTATTAAAGAAAGAAGAAAACGCATTGATTATATTCCAGAAAATGCTCCAAAATAAACAATTTTTATTAAAAGAAAATTTAATACACAAATTTGTACATTCAGTAAAGTTATGCCATTTTATAAACCTACAAGGGTCCTGTTCCCTTAAGTCACAGTGTGATTGAAGACCCGTATTATCCTGTTGCTTTACATGAAAAGGTTTCATGACAGGAATTTCCTCAGAGACAGGAGTTCATCAAATAAATGCTCATAAAACTTGATTTTTCAGAGGGAACCAAAGCAAAGGAAAGGCTTTAAAGGGAAAGAGAAGGTGGAAGGAAGGAAACTGTATATGAGGGAACTTTTGCAAACATCATAGAAGTTCACAGTTCCATTGTCGTAATCCAGAAATACTCCAATCTGACCCAGAGGCCTTTTCACGTACTGAATTAAAGGCGGGGAGTTGGTGGAGAGACTATAATGATTGTTTATCTTCAAAGAAAACAGCAGAAATGCTGCCTCAGGATCACTCATGATATCAATATCACTGGTCAAGGAATCTTTACAGACTCCCAGGACCCAATTTGGGGAGCATGTGACATCCACCTCCCAGTAATGTTTACCAGAGGTGAAGACCTGAGGTCCCCATCTTGCAAAGCTCGCCACTCTCTCAGGCTCTCTGGACACACCAGGATGGGTGGCTCCAAGCATCACACTTCCAGCAGTCTCAGACACCCAACAGGTGGCTTCCTGACTGAGCACATTATCCACTGCAAAGAGAGACAAAAATGAGGTCAGCGAATGGTATTTCCATATACTGAGGGGCAAAGATTTTCTACCTTCCAATGACCTCTTCATTTCCCTTCCTTCAAGGAAATACAAAACAAAGAGAGTAAAGAGAGTTCAGATGGCTTTTCTATGAAGAGCAAGAGTTGTGACTGTCTCTATAGCACACAGAAACCCTTCAAATCATACAGAAAAAGGAAAAACAGCCAGATATACTGTGAACTGTGTGAAGCATTTATTTAATGTCAGGCTGGATAATTTATTTCAGGCCACACCTATTTTTTTTTTCTTTACTTCAGAAAACTCTTCCTGTGTTATTTGTCTTTAATACTATTTAATAAATAAATAGCACTTAGCTACTATGTGGTTACTGACTGGCATATACCTGGTAGCTGTGACATTTTCAAATGTCAACAATTTGATAGAAATTTACATATGCCTAATTTAGAAGTTTCTGAAAAGAGTGTTCTGGCTTTACATGATCTGTTCAGCGCCTGGATTTAGTCGAATCCCAATTTTAGCCCTCTGCTGTCTAGACCTACTTTCTGGTGTTGGCCCACTATGTTTCAGCCCTGTTCACCCATCCCTTGCCTTTCAGTGGCTTTGAGATTGCTCTGACAACATTAACATTATTCTGCCAATGAGAATTTTGGTCTTTCTCTGTCAAAGCTTTCTGATTTTATAAGTAATAAATGTTTTTTGTACCATCCATGACAAATGTACTTAGAATATGCAACAAAAACTACCAATGCCATATTTAAACTTTCAAGACTGGAGTAAACTGAATAAGCATACATATTGATTGTTACTCTGAGAACTAAATATTCTATCTCTTCGTAACTACATGACCAACCTGATTGCTCTCCTCTTGCTCTGTTTGTGTTAGATACAACTAAAAATATATATCTTGATTTGCATTTACAGTAAAGTATAAGTTGGCAAATTTAGTCTTGATCATTGTAATATGACTATTTAGAGAGAAAAGAGAATAACTTTGGAAAGTCGTATACTACCTTCATGTCAGAAAAAGAAAATTAAAAGAGAAAAGAGAATCATCCCCAAGAACCACTAAAGAAATTGAGGCCTGATTGTCAAAGGGCTGATTCTTACCTCTGAAGTTGTTCAGTATATCCAGGATTCCTGTGATGCTATGACTAGTAAGCTCTGGAATTATGGGCTGCGGCTTCTGCATCGGTAACAATTCAGTCCTTTAAGGAATAACATCAGTTATACTTTTGGGCCAAAGGTCAATCGCACTACTGTTACAAAAGTAGCAATGTTTAATCTAAGAGTTTTCATCGGAATTCTCCCATTTTGATTTGTTAGGTATACGTTGTATTATATGCTCTTGGGGGCAGGAGAAACATTACTTTACCTTTTTTTCTGAATTTAGATTATATCAAACTCCAACTTCTCCATTCTTTTCAGATATTATTCCATTTCTAAAATTACTAAGGATAATTCCCTCCTTTTATTCCACCTCAGGTAAAGCAAAGATCCTGGGGTCTTACAGAGAGCACAAAGTTCAGGCAAAGCCTTTGGCATTTTACTCTGCAAGTAGTGACTAATGATATATTCAGTGTCTAAAAGGGGAGAGCCCACTGAGTCAGACAGCTTTGTTCTTTTCTGTCCAGCCAGAGAATCTATATTCAGCCTGGCAGCCCTAGTCCTGAGGGTCCACCCCCTCAGTGGGCACCAGGAAGCCATTTCCTGTGAGGCCCTGACTACCGTGGGGTGTGTTATGATGGAATAGGCGAGGTCATTACTACAGCTGGGAACAAAATCACACCCCTCTCCTTTCCATTCTTGGGGAATCTCCTTCTTTCTTATCTTTTTCACCTCCAACCCTCTAGGGTAGGAACCCCTTCTGTTATGCCTTAAAAAATTCCTTCAGTAAGTTTTATTGTGGTGAGTCTAGAGAGGATTTGGGAGCAGTGAGTGGAACAGAGCCCAGAATGTCACATGGTTTTTAAGTATATTTGAATTCGTCCACACAAGGAGGAAACAGACTAAGGAGCAGAAGGTCTTCAGGCTTCTTTTAAAAGAAATACAAAGTTGCCACAGAGGGGCGCCTGGGGGGCTCACTTGGTTAAGCGTCTGATTCTTGGTTTCCACTCAGTTCGCCCATCTCACAGATTGTGGCATCGAGCCCCACATTGGGCTCTCAGCTGACAATGTGGAGCCTGCTTGGGATTCTCTCTCTCCCCCTTCTCTCTCTGTCCCTTGCCTGCTTGTGTGCTCTCTCTCTCTTAAAAATAAATAAGCTTTAACAATAACACAACAACAACAAAAGTGGTCACAGAGAATGATGCTAAGAGCTCAAAACATGTCCATCTACTTTATCAATAAGAACAAGAGACTTGCTCAACAATCAGAAGTCAATGGTGGAAACTCACCTTTTCAATACGCTTCCCAAGTCCTACAAGGAAAAAAACAAAAAGTGATATTAATCATGAGAGTCTTGTTCTTTTGCTTCTTCTCCAGTATTCTTGTTTGTTTGTTTAAATAATGTATTTTTTCTCTTATTCCCTTCTAAGCAACAATCAGAGACTACCTTAATAATAGAACCTAAACTAAACCATGACAGGCTTCCTCAGGATATACTAAGGAAAGAAGGAGGTCAGAAAGAGGCTGTGCAACACCATCTAGGTTTCCACTGTCGCTCAGAGCCCAGTCTTATTCGCAAGAAGAGATCTGATCATTTACGACAACTAAAGCAAAGTAGAGAAATTACATTTAAAAAAAGGTTATAGAGTGCATTAAAACTGATTGCCACATTCTACAATTCTTGCCTGGGCATACGGCAAAATCTCAGTGTCTTCAGCAAGTTATTTCTGGGGGCAGGGGAACCAGAGTGGCAATGGATTAGGGGAACATACATTGAGAATTACTCCAACAAAGCTAGCCTTCCTCTGGTTACAGGGTTTTTCTGATTTTGGATCATTTATCCGTGTGATTAGTACTCCTGATTACACAGCAATAATTTTGCCCTAGGTTAACTACTAGAAGAGAAAAAAATCACCCAAAGATGAGCAAGATATGAGGAAATAAATGGCTGGACAAATGGAATGATGGGAGTCAATGAGCATCACCAGCTGGCTGAGAGCAATGGTGTATGCGGTTAGCATTTCTACATCATGGCAGCGTTGCCCACAAAAGGATTCCTGGCTCTGAGGATGGACCCTCCCTGCTCACCTGGAGGAGCTCCAGGTCAGGCTTGTGGCACATCCCCATCAGCTCTCTGTACACTTTTTTCAAGCTTTCTTTCTGTTGGGTCATTCTGAATTCACTTTCCTTGAGTTGTTGGAAAATCTCCTTTGCCTCTCTCTCCAGTGTCTCCAGATGGAGTTGCTCCTCCTCACAGAGAAATAGTCGCATCTTCTGATACTGTGCCCTGATCATGACTTTCCTTAAGAGCACATATTCCTGAGGAGATGGTATGTGTAAATGGTTACAAAGACTTGCTCTCAACAGAAAACCTCAACCTTCAAATACTATTTCCTCAGTGTTATCGAGAAAGTACTTGACAAACTTTGTGCCTCACATCTCCAAATGTCTGGAGTATTTGCTAATCTTTTCTGTTCACCGTTTCTCTATGTTCTTAGACTCCTTCCCTGTTCACATCAAGCCCGCTAAGGGGTCCCAGACCCTCTTGCTGTGCTGCTCCATCACTTATTTCCTCTCTTACCTGAACTTCCTTTTCCTTTGTTCCTATGCCTGATTTTTCTAAATGTTTAAAGATATTTATATATACACCATGCTTTACAGATCTTTAAATTAAATTCTCTACTTTTCTCTTCAGTGCTACCCTATGCCTCTCCTCTTCTTCACAGCCAAATTTATTGCAATGTTTTCTTTTTTTAAAGTTTGTTACTTATTTTAAGAGAAAGAGAAACAGGGGCGCCTGGGTGGCTTAGTCGGTTAAGCGTCCGACTTTCGCTTAGGTCATGATCTCGCGGTTCGTGGGTTCGAGCCCCGCGTCGGGCTCTGTGCTGACTGCAGCTCAGAGCCTGGAGCCTGTTTCAGAGTCTGTGACTCCCTCTCTCTGACCCTCCCCTGCTCACGCTGTCTCTCTCTCTCTCTCTCTCTCTCTCCTAGAAATAAATAAAACATTAAAAAAATTTAAAAAAAAAAAGAGAAAGAGAAACAGAGAGAAAGTGCACTTATGAGCAGGGGAGGGGCAGAGAGAGAGAGAGAGAGAGAGGGAGAAAATCCCAAGCAGGCTCTGTGCCGTCAGCCTAGATTCTGATGCAGGGCTCAATCTTACAAACCATGAGATTATGACCTGAGCTAAAATCAGGAGTTGGATGCTTGGGGCACCAGGGTGGCTCAGTGGGTTGAGCATCTGACTTTGGACCAGGCCATGATCTCATGATTCGTGAGTTCTAGCCCCATGCCAGGCTCTGTGCTGACCGCTCAGAGCCTGGAGCCTGATTCAGATTCTGTGTCTCCCTCTCCCTTTGCCCCTCCCCAGCTCGTGCTCTGTCTTTCTCTCTCTCTTAAGTAAATAAATATTAAAAAAAGAAAAGTTGGACACTTAGCCAGCTGAGTCACCAGGTGCCCCGTTGCAATGTTTTCTTAAACTCAGTGTCTGAGAGGCTTTATCCAAACCTGCAGGGCTGGACTAGGTATACCACCCATTCCCTGGGTATCCCATATACTAGCATTCTTTGCACTAGCTGTTATTGGCTAGAAGCCAATCACAGTATATCTGTGATTACTGATATATCATTTGAAACCATTACTTTTTCCTGGAAAAAAATGATCCTTTAACTGGCAGCTTAAATGTAGCCAAAAGTCTAAACCACCATTATGTCAGCCTACATAAAAACAGAACATTTTCATTCTTACTTCAAATGACTGGATTTTGCTAGTTTCTTGACTCAGATCATTTTGTATTTCTTGAGTCATGTTCCATAAAGAGCCCATTCTCTTCAGAAGTTTCTCCTGCAAAATAACCATGAGCTTTAGCAACACAGAAGATGGTATTATAGATTTCATCCCCTTATCAATGGGAAAAGTCAGTGTCTGAGAAAACAGTAAACTTGGGTTCGTATGGAGCTGCCAGATTTTTCCGCATTATCTAATTTGATTCCAATATTTATGATATCAGAGGTGATAGACGTGATAAAGATTTGAGGGTATCTATAGATACTACCGTTTTCTGAGAAACTGACATTCAGATTTTTACCTAACCTGGCCGTGAAGGTGTCAAGCTTGTATCCGAAGCCAATGTTCCTAGAAGTAGCCACTTGCCCCACAATTACATCGAACACACAGATTTGGACAATGTTTCTAAGGAAATTTCCCTTGCTAAAGGCTCACCGTAGCTATGATATGGCATCAAAATTGGCCAATAGCATTGCAAGTATGTACTTACATCTTGGTATTTATATTGAAAAAATCACCACCTTCACTATCTGTACTCACATCAACCTCATGGTCATTTTCCCCGCCTTTCTTCCTGGCTTAGAAGTCTGTAAGAGTTCAGCTTGCTCTAGAGCCATCACTTACCCTGTATTCCTCAGCAGCCCACTGTACCAGACTGTGGTCATGAGAGACATGCTCCGGTGATGCAGAGCAGGGCCCGCAAAGCAGGCTCTTGTCAGTCTCACAGAAGAGCCCCTTTGCTTCCTTGTGTATCACACAGATTTGCTCCTTGCAGCTGTCGACGTGGTAAGGTCTGGCCCGTCTGGCGAGGGATGCCAGCCTCTTAAGTGTAATATTGGTTTTGAAGTCTGTCTTCTGTGAAATTCCCCTGCACTCAGGACAAGACATTAGGGTCTGGGCTTCCTCCCAGCAGAGGTGCAGACAGGGACGGCAAAAGCTGTGCCCACAGTCAATGGTGACTGGGTCTATGTAGTAATTCATACAAATGGAGCAGATGAGTTCATTCTGCAAGGCTTGCAAGGTGTCCAAATCCATATTTCTGCACTTTTTTTTTAAAGAAAGAGAGAGAGAGAGAGAGAGAGAGAGAGAGAGAAGGTCATTCTTCTGTCCTGATTGGGGGAGGGGGGCGGGGGATGGAGGGGGAAGCCCTTAGACAAAAGCTTGTCTGCTTGAGCTCTATCTAATCTACCTATTAATTTAACCCCAGGACAAACAGAGGCATGGTAAACATAGGTTGGGTTTATGCTATGCTACAAATGAGAAAATGGGATAAAAGTGTCTTTACCACCTTTTAATTTCAAATCGACAGTGTTCTTGGGGCGCCTGGGTGGCTCAGTTGGTTAAGCATCAGACTTTGGCTCAGGTCATGATCTTGAAGTCTGTGAGTTTGAGCCCCACGTCAGGCTCTGTGCTGACAGCTCAGAGCCTGGAGCCTGCCTCAGATTCTGTGTTCCCCCACTCTCGCTCTGCCCCTCCCCCACTCACTATCTGTCTTGCTCTGTCTCTCAAAAATAAATAAATGTCAAATAGACAGTGTTCTCAATCAGAGCTCAACTACTGCCCATTAAAGACTGGGACAAGGGGTGAAAGTTAGGATGATTCCAGGGTTACATTTCTTAGCTCATTGGTGCAGAAGCCCATATAGAATCTCAATCTCTCCCTCTTTCTCTCTCTGTGCATGTGTTTCTCTCTCCATGACTCCATTACTGTAACAGGCACACAAGCATATACAGACACTTCATCTCCATGCTAACAGCCTCCATGCATTCTGTCTCCAAACTAACTGGTGTACTTTTCTAAAGACAAATAAAATGGATAAGGTTTCATTTAAGTTTGTTTAATTTAAAAAATTTTTAATGTTGTTTTTTTAATTTCTGAGAGAGAAGGAGAGACAGTGTGAGCAGGGGAGGGTCAGAGAGAGAGAGACACGGAATCCAAGACTGGCTCCAGGCTCTGGGCTAGCTGTCAGCACAGAGCCCGACGTGGGGCTTGAACCCAGGAACTGCGAGATCATGACCTGAGCCAAAGCCGAATCCGGACACTTTGTTTATCCTAAGTTTGTTTAATTTAATCCATGTTACCTTCAACTTTGACTCCTGCAACTGTAATCAGCTGAATTTGTGCTAACTTTAATAGCAAAACTCCTCCTTTCAGGAAGTAAAGTGTAGGGGCACCTGGGTGGCTCAGTTGGTTAAGCGGCCAACTTCAGCTCAGGTCATGATCTCGCAGTTCATGATTTTGAGCCCTGCATCAGGCTCTGTGCTGATAGCTCAGAGCCTGGAGCCTGCTTTAGATTCTGTCTCCCTCCCTCTCTACCCCTCTCCTGCTCACACTCTGGCTCCTTCTCCCACAAAAATAAATAAACATTAAGAATTTTTTTAAAAAGGAAATAAAGTGTAAAAATTATCTTTTATTTCTGGTTTGAAAAATAATTTTCCCAGAGTCAGTTCAAATCATCAGAGCATCTTCACATCTTGAGCTGGTTAATGTTCAAGTCACAGTGCTAATCAGCAACAATTAATCTTTTTTTTTTTTTAACAAATTAAGAAGAGAATAAGCATTGGGATTTCCTTTCTGCACTAGAAAATACAGAGATGCAGTTAAGAGAAACACGATCAATTCATCTTCATTTTTGGTATTTCCCCATGGTGACCAATGCCATTTCTTGGGAGTCCTTACCAGTTGGTTAGAACCCTTTAAATCTGGTCTGCAAACTGAAGGTTTTAGGAGAGCAAATAGGACTTTTACAACAAGGGGTTTCTAATTAACTCAGCACACTAAACTTTCATGTTGATGGGTATAAAGACTATTACATACATACATTATGCTGAATATTTCAGGTGTTTACAAGTTCCAAAATTGCATAAAAACTGCATAAATCTCTAAGACATAAAAAAGTTTAGTAACACATAAGGTAAAAGAGTAAAAAATAATCAGCTAAGCATCCGGCTTTGGCTCATGTCCTGATCTTGTAGTTCATGAGTTCAAGCCCCACATCAGGCTCTGTGCTGACAGCTTAGAGCTTGAAGCCTGCTCAGATTCTGTGTCTCCTTCTCTCTCTGCCCTTCCCCCAACTCACACTCTGTCTCTCTCTGTCTCAAAAATAAACATTAAAAAGTTTTTTCAAATAAAAAAGGAATAAAAATAATCAACCTAATGTAGCAAATATTATTATATTACAAATGCTCTAGTTACACAGATCTTTTAAATATTGATGTCATTTAAAATAACTACGAAAGCTGTTTGTTTGGACAAGACCCAAGCAGGACAACAGCCAACTTGAAAGTATTTGTAGAAGAGAAAGTAGGAATGAAGATATTCACTGTAAACTCCGTACTTACCAGAGTCTACTGAGTGGTCTCACCTCTAGAAGGTCTAGAAGCTCTGGAAGGCTGGGCGCTATCAGGGCCAGCGGGAACTCTCTGCTCTCTGAAGCCTGGCAGCTACAAAGTGAGCCAGTCTAACCCCAGAGAAGAAGTCCTCTCAGGACAGCTGTGCTTTTTATATGGTCCAGGTCACCTAAAGCCACGCCTACTTCTTGAGATTGGCTATTTTCTTTAGAAAGAATCGGAAATGGCTGATCAGGTAACACAGAAAGGTATAAAAATGGCTAATCAGATTTTACAGCATAAAGAAAACAACTCTTGAGAACTAATGCCCTAACAAAACCTGGACTTGTTTTGAACTTGCACAAGTTGTTCAAAAAGACATTTTAACCAAAGCAATTACTTCATTAAATGGTTTTTCATTCTATAAGCTTTGACCTCACAACTTTTTTTTCTTTTCAAGTTTTTATTTAAATTCTTAATAGTTAGCATGTATGGTAAAATTGGTTTCAGGTGTAGAATTCAGTGTGATTCATCATTTACATACATCACACAGTGCTCATCACAACAAGTGCCCTCCTTAATGCCCATCACTTATCTAGCCCATCCCCTCCCACCTCCCTCAAGCAACCCTCAGTTTGTTCTCTATCTCTTATGATCTACTTCCCACCCCCACCTCTCTCTCTCTCTTTATTTTTCCTTCCCCTTTGTTCATTTGTTTTGTTTCTTAAATCCCACATATGAGTGAAATCATGTAGTATTTTGTCTTTCTCTGACTTTGCTTAGTGTAATACATTCTAGCTCCATCCATGTCATTTCAAATGGCAAGATTTCATTCTTTTTGACTGACAACACATTTTTTAAATGTTTATTTATTTATTTTAAGAGAGAGAGCAAGAGCATGAGTGGGGGAGGGGTAGAGAGAGAGGGACAGAGAGAATCCCAAGCAGGCTCCACGCTCGGCATGGAGTCCCACATAGGGCTCTAGCTCATGACTACAAGATCATGACCTGAGCCGACATCAAGAGTCAGACACTGAACAGACTGAACTACCCAGGTGTCCCCAGAAATTTATATTTTAATCGAGGGATAATTGACATATAATACTGTCTTAGTTTCAACTGTTACAACATGATTTGTTATTTGTATATATTGCAAAATGATCACTGCAATGTCTTGTTAATGTCCATCACTATACATAGTTACATAATTTTTGTCTTATGATGAGAACTTTTAAGATCTCTCTCCCCAACTTACAAATATGCAATACAGTATTATTAACTTTAGTTACCATGCTGTGCATGCTATAGAAAATTATTATTATTTAAAAAAATTTTTTTAATGTTTATTCATTTGAGAGAGATAGAGCATAAGCGGGGAAGGGACAGAGAGAGAGGGAGACACAGAATCTGAAGCAGACTCCAGGCTCTGAGTTGTCAGCACAGAGCCTGATGCAGGGGTCAAACTCACAGAGGTGAGATCATGACCTGAGCTGAAGTCAGACGCCCAAACAACTGAGACACCCAGGTGCCCCTGTAGAAAATTATTTTTAACAGAGGTGCCATACTGCCTGTATTTTGTTGATGCCTACCACAGTTTAACAAATCACCAATGCTTGCCTATGGGTTGTCTCACTAAGTTATCTAATGCTTGGGAGATTAGCCCTATAATAAACATATGAAAATAATCTAAACTTGCTAGAAATTTTAAAAGTAAAAATTTAAATAAAAATCACCTTTTATAAACTTTTACAGTGCAATACATGTTATTTTTCCTAGACAAACTAAAAGGCTAATATTTCAAGTTTTTGCTGCCTGCTTTAGCAGCATTTGATGGGAGGATCTTTTGTAATAGATAAAAAATAAACCAGATTGCAAATCCTTGTTTTTTGTTTTTTTTTAACACTTAAACCATGTACCAAGTTTTTGGTCCAAATTGTAGAGGATAAGTTAAATTTATTCTATTAACCAATATGAGTGTATTTCTGTAAGCATAGTATGTTGAAATAAAGTTTTAAAAAGCAAAAAAATAAAATTCTCAGGGGCACCTGAGTGGCTCAGTCGGGTAAGCATCCAACTATGGCTCAGGTCACGATCTCATGATTGATGAGTTCAAACCCTTTATCAGGCTCTGTGCTAACATCTGAGAGCCTGGAGCCTACTTCACATTCTGTGTCTCCCTCTTTCTCTCTGCCTCTCTCTCTCTCTCTCTTTCAAAAATAAATAAACATTAATTTTTTTTTAAATTATCAAATTGGGGAGTTCCTTGGTGGCTCAGTTGGTTAAGTGTCCAATTCTTGATTTTGGCTCAGGTCGTCATGTTGGGGTTTGTAAGTTTGAGCCCCACATCCGGCTCTGTGCTGACAGTGCAGAGCCCATTTGGGATTCTCTCTCTCTTTCTCTTTGCCCCTCCCCTGCCCTCTCTTTCTCTGTCTTTCTCACAAAATAAATAAATAAACTTAAAAATAAAATAAGATAGGGGCGCCCAGGTGGCTCAGTCAGATAAGTGTCCAACTTCGGCTCAGGTCATGATCTCACATTAAATTACATTAATTAATTTAATCAATAAACTTAATAAAAAAGAAGAAAGAGAAATCTGTGTACAACAGAAGAAGAAAACAAAGAGCAGCTGACTAACTTCTGACTTTCTTTCCCCCTCAACTTTATGTGGAAAGAACCCCTCCAAAAAACAAAAACATTGATCAAAAAA